TTGATAGTAATTTGATAGTAATTTGATAGTAATTTGATAGTAATTTGATAGTAATTTGATAGTAATTTGATAGTAATACGGGTAATAAGTTTTAAATTGAAATAGACGAAAAACTCTATTATTATTAGTATTATTATTATATAAAACAGATTCGATTATTTTGAAATTACTTTTTTTTTTTCTTTATATAATGTAATATATATATATAATACACTGCAGATTATCTTTTTTTTTTTGCGAAAAAAAATTGTTTTAAAATATTTCATTTTCCCGTCAAAGACCTTATATATTTATAGAAACGACTCAAGCTAGTAAAAATGAATAAATTATTTTTAATAATAATAATATATTATTTATGAACCAAATATAAAATAGCTGACCTAAAATAATTACATAATATAATTAATTGTTTGAATTTATTTTTTATTTATTTTTATTTATTTTGGCTGTCGAAAGCCCAGAACAATTTTCTATATCATCACTGGCATGATAGAATGATCTTCATACATAATATATATATATATGTAACCCGGAGATATTTATTTGCCGATTCTACATTATTATATACTATATATTATAAAAGGTGATTTCACACTTTCGATGCGACACAAAAAATTTGAATTCCAAGTTCACTGGACAAATCTTCGGTAATCATCAACTAATAATTTTTTTTGATCACCAACTTCATTGATGTCATAACAAGTATGGCTTAGGTATTTTCTTTTAAATACTACCAATCCAACCTATAATATGGGATGATTGTCGAAACATGAATAGTTGGATAGTGGATTTGGCTTGATCTGTGATTTTTAAATTCATGTTTTTCATTTTATAATATTCATCACTCTTAATAATCTTACTTACTATAACCGTAACAGTAACAGTAACAATAACGTTAACAGTTAATATAAACATTTTTTTGGAATCACATTCATGAACATTCATTAATGTGAAATTAAAAATAATAACAAAAAAAAAAGACAAAAAGACACCGAATATAGAAAACAGGCATCATAAGTTACTCGAAACCGCTCTTTTTCGTTTATTCATACGATCTATAGAGGTGCAGAACGCATTAAATACATTTACTAAATAAATTTACTAAATGCATTTGCTAAATACAGTTGATAAATGCATTTGCTAAAGAGACATCACATTATTGAAGGAAAGCAATGACATTTCGGAAATCGGGAAAGTATGTGAATGTATGCACGCATTCATTTGAATAGTTTATTTATAATTGGGATTATTGGCAAGTTATTAGTAATTGGAAGCTTATGTAAACAACCATTTGTCTATAAGATGCACGAATCCTTTGGTTGGTCTTACGAAAGAATAAATGACAGCAAACGATCGCACAAAAGGATAACAATTATACATAAATAATATAAATTCTTTTATTACTGTATAAATTCTTTTTATTACTGATAACCCAATTATCTTATGATGTTATCTTATCACTAGCCTGGATCGTGTTAATGCATTATCATTTGATAATATTAACCATTCTTTGCTCTAACTGATTTGTTGAACCAATGAGTCTTTCGTAATAACAATAACTCAATCTGGAACCTCTTTTGCAATAACAATAACTCAATCTGGAACCTCAATCTGGAACCAAGTTTTGTTTACTACCCGCTTTTTTTTCTTCTTTGCACGGAATAATCTTTGAGTAACTTTAGCAAATACACTTGTTAAACAAGGAATTATGTCTTCTCTTTTAGGACTCGTCAATCTAGTCAACTATTTTCAATGTATTCAATGTATTTTCAATGTATTCAATGTATTTTCAATGTATTCAATGTATTCAATGTATTTTCAATGTATTCAATATATTCAATATATTCAATATATTCCAGGTATTCAAGAATTTATTAAGACTCATATGATCACGGTCAACTCACTAACTTGATAGTTTCAAGAATGAATTGTTTTGGCTATTGAAGATTTACGGATTTTCCAAAATTCTAGCATTATTCCTGCTTACGGGATGCTTACGTACAGTACGATTCGAGTCACGATGCTTTAATTTTACTATATTCAAAAATCAAAAATAACAATGCAAAATAGAATCTGATATTCTTTAAAAAAAAAAAAATTACATTAACATTAATAACATTAATACGGTAACGTAACATTAATAGGTTATTACAATAAAAAATCTGGTCACACGGTTCATCCGATTACACCAAATAACTTAGATGGCTGAATGCAAGTATTTATTTGTTTTTTCTATGCATTTATTCATACGCCAACGGCCACATGTGCATGTTATGTATAGGATCTCGAATCGCCTGGACACACGATCCAGGTCTCGCCTTGTGATTATCACGAAGATCATTTTTACCTGCTTAACAATCAAAATCCAATACTTTTTTTAGTCATTTTGTGATTCGTATAAATTATTTACTAACTTAGGGATTCTATATATCGATATGTGATCATTGTCTTTTTGGTTCTTTCCGGATCCTCACATACGTATAACTCATATTAACTTGAGTTATAACTTGAGTTATAACTTGTGTTATATTAACTTGAGTATTTTTCTTTTATCTTTTATCCAATGGTATCTCCTGAAATGTTAATAAAATATTTTGTTAACAGTATAATTTTCTTATTAACGTTAATCATTCAAGAATATCTTACGTACCTATTAATTTATTCAATACATATAAAAATACATATAAAATATATATAAAAAAAAATGAAACGTTCTTTGTAACACCATCCAATAACATATCTGATATAAGATGACAATATATAACATATTTATCATGATTATTAATTAATATTGTCGTTATTATTGTTATTATTGGTATAATCGTTATTATTTATTATATACTACGTATTCTTAAATTCTAAGGGATTTTTTTTTTTTAAGTGTTAGTGTTACAATTAAAGGATAATGATTTTTCTTTAATCCCCAGTTTTAAAATAGTACAAGTTTTAATTTGTCTTTGTAAATTTTATGAAATTCATTTCCTAATTTCGACACATCAAATGCAACTTAAAAAGTTTAAAGGTGACTTATTGTTCGAATAATATATCTTAAATTCTATAGTTGATAAAAAAAGAATCGGGTCGATACTTTCCGCTATAGGTTCTTAACGTATTTGTAGAAAGTTGATTGATCACCCGATTCGTGCAGTTTTTTTCTTAATCTGACATAAATGTCTATTTTCCATACACTTTTGTTATTAGATATCAATTCAAAATTTTTTTTTAAAAAATAATTTTATTTTTAAATGTTTTTTTAAATAATTTTATTTTTAAATAATTTTGATTGGTGAAATAATTAAAATCTCGTGAAATAATTAATAATTAAATCTCGTGAAATAATTAAATAAATCTTGTGAGATAACTATTAAATCACCAGATTTTTTTTACCACTTTTTATTAATTTTCTATATCGTAATATTTGATATGTATCAGATATCGATATACCTGTATCAGGGACCCGTAAAAATTTGGATTTTATTTATATGATTTCCAAATTTGTATAAATAATTTCCAAATTTTTACGTGTCCCTGACCTGTATATAACATATAAAATTAAATATGAAGTAAAATTAAAATTAAAGTAAAAAAATATAATATATGTAACGATAATTAAAACGTCATTAATTAATCACCTGATCATCCAAATTTTCATTCATATAAATATAAGCCGCAGCCTATTAAAAAAAAATCGTAAATCCTTTTTTTTTTCCCACATTAACAATTATTTTACCATATCAATCATATCAATAAAAATCTTTCTCTGTTTTTAACGATTACAGAATTTTACTACGTATTAAATTTTGTAATATTCAAAAGATTCAAAAGATTCAAAAGATTCAAAAGACCACGCCACATAACAATAATAGCAATGGATAATGAGGCAGTCGATACAACAAGTATTAGAGAAGGTATCTTATTTTATCAAGATGCGGATGGTAACACAGGTTATTATTGGGACTCTGAAGTTGGAATCTGTGCACCTTCATTAATACCAACAGAATCTGAATTATGGAAAGATCAAGAAATATCAGGTGATACTCCAGATCTTGACGCGATAAATTATCAAAGAATTGCTCAACGAATGAATCAAAATCGAAATCAAAATCGAAATCGAAATCATCATAATGATATTTCTCTGGATGAAAAATGTAATAAAAACATTACAATTATTGATAATGTTATTGATGATTTATCTTCTTCATCATCATCATCATCATTACAAAAAGATCTTTTGATTATTGAAAAAATTGAATCTGCGGAATCACTTGTTGAACCTGTTGAGAAAATGTCTCTTTATCCATCCTCCATTCCCGAAAGTCCTTCTTCAACATTAATTGAACCTGTTAGGAATTTATCTTTGAATGATTCTTCATTAAATAATCAAGAGTCATTATACTATGATAGCAGCAACTTTAATCTTTATCGTCAAGAATCATATTTATTAACTGATTTTTTCACTGATTCATGTCATGAATCTTTTGAAGATGATCCAGGTGGTGGAAATTATGAAGGAAATGATGAAAGAAATTATGACCGAAATTATGACCGAAATTATGAAAGAAATTATGAAAGAAATTATGACCGAAATTATGAAAGAAATTATGATCGAAATTATGAAGGTAGTGAAAATGATGAAAATGATAGAATTAATAATAATGAATTTAATAATTATGGATTTAATAATGGATTTAATCATGGATTTAATAACGAATTTAATAATGGATTTAATAATGGATTTAATAATTTGAATGATACTAATGATGTCACTATGGAAGAGAGAAAATTTGATGATATTAATGATATTGAACCACCATCACCGACATCTACACGTGATCCAGAAAGTGATAGTCAATCAGAGGCAATTGCTTGGGAATATTTGCAACATTTTGTAGGTCGAGAATTTCAAGATGAAGCAGGATTGGATTATGGTGAAAATCCCGGTGGAAAAGTTTGGGATGATGATGAAGGCATGGATCCATCAGAAAATCAATAAAAAATGTGAGTCCTCCCCTGTAATTCCTGTAATTCGAATTTTTTTTAAACAAATAAATGAATTTATGCATATGATAATTATTGTTTACATTACTGTTGTATAATTACATCACTGTCGTATATATAAATTTTATGCTTCTATGACATCACCATCAGATGTAACAATCACATAAGCATTCACACAATGGTGATTTATCAATTTTTTTTTTATTTGTCAATAAGTTTTACTATTGTTAGAATGCTAGCATATACAAACGATACTAAATTTTTTTGTCTCTTATACAAGTTTCTTAGTCTCTTATACAAGTTTCTTAGTCAACCATATTCAACCATGTTAAAACTATATTCAATTTTGTTTAATCTTTATCTTATCCAACCATGCTCAACCATGTTCAAATATATTCAATCTTATTCAACCATGTTTTATGTTCAGCCGATTATTATATATTACTGTATAAGTATGTCGGTATATTATACAGTAAATACAGTAAATGTGACATTATTCTTTTTTTTTTTTATCAATTCGTTTAACACGTTTTTTTAATCACTGAAAATCGGGCAAAATTTTTCTTATACGTAAAAGTAACGTTAAATATTAACAAATAGATCATCATTTAATTTCATATCCTATGGTTCGGAATAGAGGTTGGAACCGGTTTTAATAATTCGGGTTTATCACGTAAATTTTGTGATATTTTAGAATTTATTAAAATTTAATTGGATTAAATTCTAAAATATCACAAAATTTACGTGATAAACTCGAATTATTAAAACCGGTTCCAACCTCTAGTTCGGAATTTAGATGTCTTCAAAATGTGCATTAACGTTAACACAAAATTATGATTAGTTGAAAATGAAATTAACGTTTAAAAATAAATTGATTATGTACTACGAACAATATTGTTACGTACTATTATACAATGGGGTGATGAATAAAAAAAAAATTTTTTTTTTTTCTGAAACTTTAGTTCTAGAACGGACTAAAGTTTTGTAATCAATGGAACCGTGTGAGGTATATTTTGTTATAAAGTTTTACGTATTTGTTTTTTTTTTGGCTTTGATCTAAAAATGGTGTTATGAATTTTGATTCGTTTTTTTTATTAAACAAAAAAAAAAGTCTTTAAAACGCATATGTACATACGTTATGTACGTACATCCAAAAATATCACGTCCTTTTATTTATTCAAAACGGAAATACGTTTATTCAGAATACCAAATTTGGGATATGACATTATTTAAGCTTTGCCTAGATCGTTTGTGGCGTAGGGTTCTAGAACTTTATTGAAAAGAATGAGTTTGTAGTGCATGTGTCAACAAAATGGTTAATTAAGTCAATGTGGTATAACGAAATTATGGTTGACGCGTATATAAATTATATAAATTAGATATAAATTAATGGTGATCAAATAACGTAATTTTAATACAGTGCTTTGTGGTTCAATATGTT